CAAATAAAATTAAATAATAAATAAATAGGTAAGGCAGGGGATGTAGCTCAATGTGTGACACTGGGCTTACTCCCTATTAATGAAAAACAAACCCTCAACACATATCAACACACATTTACACTTACAACAGTGTTTCAAATTGTGAACCACTTCTATAGGTTGGGGCAGGAGGCCTTAATATAGAGCAAAGTGCTTTTTACTCTTTATCTGATAGTACTTCAGAATTATTTCAACTTAGATTTCTTGGATTACTAATGAACTAGGCAAGGTTCTACGTATGTGATGGTCTTTTGTGTCTGTGACAGTATTTAGTTGTTGCTGTTGTTTGGTTTTTTAGAGCCTAGTTATTTTAAAGCATGGTCGTAGAACCTAACTTCTTAATATATCGTTAATGTAGCCTGTGCTCCTTCCACAGTCCCCAGTTCACTAAGTCCTGACTTCAATACTCACTGATCATCCAGTACATCATCTCCTAGCCCTCTTGCTAATGATCTTAAACCCTCTCAAACTGAGTTTAACTGAGAGTTTAACTGAGAGTTCTGCCCAGAACTCTTTCTGGGACTTTCTTATAGCTTTTCATTACTACACCCCAACAGATCCTTATCTACAGCTATCTCTATGTAATTTCTGGCTGAGATAATTGAGGCACTTATCTAAGCACTTGATTTCATCCTTGCTAGCATCCTCTGGAACCTGAAAAGAAGAAGACAGGCAGGAGAGGAGACTGGGAGATGCTATGCCACTGTCTATGAAGATAGAAGGTGAGAACACGCACCAGAAAATAAGTGCAGTTGCCAAAAGCTGGAAAAAGCAAATAAACACACTGAGCGTGGTGGTGTATGCCTGTAATTCCAGCATGCTGGGAGGATGAGGCAGGGGACTGTAAGTTCAAGCACAGCAACTGAAAAACTCAACCAACTTGGTGACTTGGAGAGTCAATGCCCAGGGCTCAAGCCCCAGGACTGAAACCAAAAACAAAGTGAAATCAAAAACAAGGAAACAAATTCTCCCTTAGACCTTACCCTGGAAGGAACTAGTCCCCTCAACTTTGGTCCAGTAAGTTTAATTTTGAACTTCTTATTGTTTAAAGGCATTAAGTTTATAGTAATTTGTTATAGATGCAACAGGAAACTAACAGGTATACAGGCCAACAATATACTCCGGACTATAATATATTAAAGGGTCTCTATGTAAAGATAAGAACTGAGGACTGAAGACAAGATGTTTAGGAAAAATAATCAAAGATGAAGACCGTACATCAATTGTTTTGTCGAGATGGTCTAGATAGAGGAAACAGTATATGCAAAGGGAGACAGACAGACTGACAGACTGACAGACAGACAGACAGACAGACAGACAGACAGACAGAATATGAGTTCAAGAGGGGGAAAACTACTTTAAATACTACTTAATAAGAGTAGGGCCGGCCAGATAGCTCAGCGGGCTAAAGCGCCTGTTTGGGCAGAGCAAAGCGCCGAGATTCAATCCCCAGCGCGCAGTGCCGGTCTGCCTGCAGGGTGCGCTGAGACAGCGATCGAGACTGGATTGACACTGGGCGTGGTGGTGTGCGCCTGTAATCCCAGCGTTTGGGAGGCTGAAAACAAGAGTATCACTGAGTCCGATCTACATAGTGAGACCCTGTAGACCCAGCCATAAAAAAAAAAAAAGTAGATGTTTTATGTCAGGCATTGTTCTAAAACACTTTACAATCCTGTGAGGTAGACACTATTATCATCACTCTCATTTTTCCCATAAGGATACAAAGGTCTGGAAGAAATAAGTAACTTTCCACTGATCAGAGCTAATAAATGGCAGAGCTAGAATGAAGAATTGTGGTTATGTCCAAAATCCACATCCATATTATGTTGGAGGCATTAAGCATTATGGTGGAGACATCAGAACAGCTCAGATTAAATAAACTATCAGAAACATGAGTGTGATAAAGATCGGCACAAGTTGAAATATCTTCTAATTTTGGACACTGATGGAGGGAGGGTGGGAATGATGTGAACAGTCAGACGACCTCTAGATTTCATTGATGTGATGGTTTTGTTGTTAGCTAACCCACGCAGGAGCCTTTTTGGTCTACTTAGTGTAAATCCCTTTTGCATTACAAACTCCACAGCTCGTACAATGCTTTAAAATTCACTTCTGTTCTGTTATTGGCTGAGGCTGCCTTGGGGGTGGGACCTCAGCTTCCACCGCTCTAAGAAGCCGGAAGTAGTTAGAAACAGTGGGGCTTAGTACCTCACAGGAGGGGCGGCCTTAGGATACCGATTCCCCGCCCGAGTTGCAGGGACTCTGAAGGAGTAGTACCAATTTAAATCTTCCTCCCCAAGAAACTCTCACCAGGTTACTGGGGGCTGGACTTTTGTCTAGCTTTTCCCAGTCTTCAGTTTTCCTCCGGACTCCTCGCTCCGCCCCCGGGCCCGCCCGTCACCTCTCGGACTCCGTCTTTTCCCCCCTCAGTCTGCCACGCCACTTGGTATCACCCAGCTCCGCCTACCACAGGGCCTCCCCTGCCACTCAAGATGGCTGCTGTTGTGGGGCCCGGCTCGGAGCCTTGGAACCGCGTAAAGATCCCCAAAGCCGGTAGCCGCAGCACAGTGACAGTGAGGGACCCCGGCGCTGCCCTGAGTGAGTGAGGGTCCGGCGAGGCGGCCTGACGTTTGCGGGAGCCTGAAGGCCGGGAAGCACGTGGGGGGCGGGGCTTCCTGGACCCGGAGGACGCTGGGAAGGGCTGCGGGCGGGACTGACTGTGGTCCCCCCTCCGCAGACGTAGACAGATGCTGGGGTCGGGGACCGTGTGTCGGTCGGGGCCCCGCGTGCTTGCCCTTTCGACCTTTTCCCTTGTTCTGCCTCCAGGGGGCGGGGGTGGGGCGACGCTCAAGCGCTTTGCTCCTTAATCACGGTGTCTGAACCTCGGTTCCTTGTCTGTAAAGCAGAGCTTGTCTTCCTAACCCTTGCGGAATGATGCGAGTCACCTCTTTCCTAGACTGCGGATCGAGTGCTCTGTGCATACCAACCTATGAGGATTGTTATTTAGGCAGTGGGGCAGGGTAGGTAGGAGTTTGGGGCTACTTAACCATTCTGTTCCTCAGTACACTTTGGGAATACAAATAGTACCAGCCTCTAGGTCTGATTTCGAGAATAAAAGCATTGATCTTTTAAGAAACAGATTTGGAACTGCATAGTCTGGAAATAAATACAAATTATAGCAATTATCAAATGTTTTAGCAAGCTTTTGCCAGTAAATACAACCAGTCAGATTACACATCTCCCGTTTTACAGATCCATCTTCCTCTACTCAGAAAGTCGTTAAGAGGGTTCCAGTTAGGCCTGGGAAATAAACCAATTCCTCATTCTCACGGAAGTTAGTGTTGTTTCCCTGCAGTAGTTGGGACTGTAACAAAATTCTCCAAGTTATGTAGGAAATTTGTCTTCCACCCACCTAATGAAATGATCTGATGTTTCCCGTAGATCTGTTATCCATATTTTAGCTTTTCAGATTAGGAAACATTTAGGCACCTATGTTTTAGTCGGGTGTTCTCTAAATACTGTAACTTATAGTGGGCATCGTGGTTTCTTTTTCCTAATATAGTTGTGCTTTGGATCTATTGGTCCTGGGAACTCCTCCCATGCCAAAATTTGCAGATGCTTAAGTCCCTTGGTGTTGTGTTTGTATATAGCCTACACAATTATCTCCAGATTACTTACAATATAATGTAAATGTTATATAAATAGTTGTTATATTGTATTGTTTAATGACAATGTCTACAGAGGGTGCAGTTTTTTCCATGTATTGTCTATCTGAGGTTGGTTGGATCTACAGAGGTAGAACCTCTGGATGCAGAGTACAGGCTGCATATTCTTGTCAATGTTAAAAGTGGTATCCAAATAACAGTTCCTTTGACTTTTATTTATTTTTTATAAATTTCATTTATGTGTGTGTGTGTGTGTGTGTGTGTGGCCAGCTCAGCCCACCAGGGGGTGGGGCTGGCTGGCATGTGGTGCTGGGGGATTGAACCGTGGTACCTGTGCTTTGCTAAACTTGTTCTAAGTATGTGCTTTAGACCACTGAGCCATTTCACCAGCCCCAGTTCCTTTGACTTTGAAGGCTGTTGATTTGTTCTGTCTTACTTGCATGTATAGCAAAATGGGGCGACTTAGAGATAATATGACATGTGCCCAGCTTCAAGGACTTCAGGCATAAGTGTACCCAAGTGACTATTACAGGAAGGATTATTTAAGTCATGCTAAAGTATGATATAAAGAAATAAAATATATTATTGTCTAAGTGATGTTCTGTTTTGATTTCTGTTAATTGTTTCCTGGAGTTTATATCATTTATCACTATTTCCCAACTTCTCAATTACTTAGAATCCTTTGTTATGTTTATGTAGGTTGATTAATTTTTTAAAGAAATTAAAGCAAGGCAAGATTTTTTCACCATATTTTTCATATCGTATGCTCAATGTAGAAATACACACTAAGTCTTATCAAACATCTGTTTCAGAACTTTGCATTGCAGCTGTAATTAAAGAATGCCATCTCGTCATACAATCTCTGAGGAGCCACATGTTAGATGCAGAAACAGATGTGCTATGTTCGGTCCTTTACAGCAACCACAACAGAATGGGCCGCCACAAACCCCATTTGGCCCTCAAACAGGTGAGGAGGAAGCCTGCTATTTTGTGAAGATGTAGCTCACACTGCCACTTACTGTTTTGTAATATGTGGAAATCTTACTTGTGATTTATAGATCTGTAGAGACCTCATGTGTAGACTCTCTCTTGCTGCCTGTCCTAAGTAACCATTTCAAAACATAATTTTTGTTCAAAAGAAAAGTTTTTAAAGTAATTCTTTCCCATTTGTTTTAAGTAGGCTAAGTACAAATTTTTAGATATGTGCAGTATATGTAACAGTGAATTTGTCCAGTTCAAAGATTTAGTGATTTGACCAAGAAAAAAATATTAGACATTAAGAAACACTTTTCTAAACATCATTAAAATCCTAAAACTATTTTGAACAAAATTATAATGTGTTTATTATGGAATATATAATCTAATCAGTAATGTGCTGGAATAATTGTACATCTAGCAAGTTGTGGTAAAAAGTGATTTTATGTAATTTTTGGAGTGTAAGACAAACTTGGGCCCTCCAGCTCAGAGACTAAGTTATGGAGGAGAAACTCTTACACTGAGTCTCTTATGTGCTTATTTGTTTATTCACTATTAATTATGCAAGTGGTGTTTGGTTATGCAGGGTGCTCCTCATTTTATGCCAGAGGTGGCATGCAACACTTTGCAAGAGGTGTTTTTTTTTTTTTTTTTTT